GGCCAGCAGCAGGAAGACAATACTGTGGCTCGGTGAAGAGACCCAGCACCTGGGAGTGATGTCATTGTCTTCCCAGGTCAGTGCAGCATCCCAGTCCTGTCCCTCCTTTCCCCCCTCCTTTACAGTTCTATACATTTTCCTTTTCTTTTCCCTCTTTGACTGTGCTGTTTGCTTTAACACCACATCTTCCAAAACCCCGAGCCTGGCCCAGTTTATGATATTTTAGTACATCATTTTACTTTCCTCTTTTTAGCCTCTTATTAACCAAGATTTAGAAATCTCCCCGTAGTTTCCTTTGCTTCTTATTCCCACCCTTACATACGCTGTTCTCCTCCCCTCCCATCTACCCACAGAAGTAGACTGCAGACAGAACGGTGCCTGGAATACCAATCTAACAGGAGAAAACACAGGCATAACTTCATTATAACCCAGTCTCTATGAACACCATGAACACCTCCACTAAAGGAAGACAGGCTACCCAAACGAAAAGAACAACAATGAAAATCTTAACCAACATTTTAACCCTAAATGGGCAGATCTTAGGGCAAAACCACAAACAACATGAAAACCCAAGACTACTTGTTTCTACCAAAAATTACTAATTTCATAGTTATGATCCCCATGAGAATGAGTTAGATGAAGCAGACACGGAATTCAGAAGAATGTATCTAAGTATTCTCTCTCTCTCTCTCTCTCTCTCTCTCTCTCTATATATATATATATATATATATGTATATGTATATGTATATGTATATGTATATGTATATGTATATGTATATGTATATGTATATATACATACACATATTTAAAAAACTTCAGAGAGAACATGAACACTTAAGAACACAAGCAAACAGCTCAATGAAATAGGGAGGTCAATTCAGGATATGAAATTAGAATTCAATAACGATATAGAAGTACTGATGAAAACTGAACTGGAATGAGGTAGGAGTGGGAAACACAATCGGTCAAGTGAAAAGCTGGGTGGAAAACCTCATCGCTGGAATGGACTGGGAGGAAGACATCGAATGCCAGGTTACTGATGCCTTTTGTGTATGTGGACTGCCAGCTTTCCTCTGGGGAAATCCTATTTTCATCATTCTGAAGTGGGAACCCATCCTCTGTTCTTTCGGTTCGAAGCCCCAGCTGGCTTTTGCTTTTAAGGCTGTTTTGGCAAATGCTGTCATTAGGCCCTGGCCATCCCTTTTTTGGTAGCTCTTTAGGAGTGCGAGTTAGAGTCAGCTCTTTTCCAAGTCAAACTGAAGCTGAACCCACATTTAAATAAGACTCCCGGGGATCCACAGACACATTATTCTCGAAGCAGCTTTGTTTGGGGCTATTTTAATGTTTTAAAAATGGAATATGAAATGCTCACACAGATTTTCCGTTCTATTATACATTCACCTGTCAAATACTTTTGGTGATGCATAAGCCCAACTTTTTTTGGTTAGCATTCAATAATAAGTAAACAAGCACATAACTTCTGTAGCCTGAAAGTCTCACACAGCAAAGAAACGAGGTGGTAGGACCTAGGACAGTGATCGTAAAATTTAGGCATTTTGGAATGACCTCAGGGACAGGCTTAAGAACTCTTAAATGCCAAGACTACATGCCAGTCACACTAAATCAGAACTCTGAGAATGAGACCTAGCACCAATACTTATTAATAGCACCCTACCCCCAAACCCCATCATCAGCCCCCAACACTCCATCCCCGAAACCAGATGATGCCAATGGAACTTGATTGCATAGATGGGTCAAAGAGAACAGTAAGGTTGGTATAGGAGGTCCTTCTGTATTTGTGTTGCTTTCATTAGTTATGAAAGAAACTTCCTTGGCCTAGTTGATAAGGTGGAACTCAGGTAGGCGGGGGAAGACAGAACAGAATGCTAGGAAGAAGGACAGTGTGACAGATGTCATGGTTCTCCTGCCCGAGACAGACGCTGGTTAGACTCATGCAGATAAGCCACAGTCAAGTGGCAACACACATTAATGGCGATGGGTTAAACTAATATGTGAGAGTTAGCCAATAAGAGACTAGAGATAATGGGCCAGGCAGTGATTTAATTAATACAATTTCTGTGTGGTTATTTTGGGTGTAAGCTAGCTGGGCGGCAGGACGCAGCCCGTTACCTCCTTACTACATAAGGTGTAGCATTAGCCAAGAAGTTGCAGATAAGTGAACAGAAAAGATGACCGCGAGAGGTGGCTCTGTGGGTAAAAGCACCTGCCGTGCCTTGGCAGAACCCATGTAAAGGTGGGGGAAAACAACCAAGTGCTGAAAAAGTGTCCTTCAACCCACGCTGCCCCACACTAATAATCACCAGGAGCAGCAGAAGCATTGCCACATTACTCAGGTTTCTGCTCCTTTAGCAAAATAGCCCTGAGACAGCGCTTACAGAAAGCAAAGGTTCATTGCGCGGCACAGTTTGGGAGCTTCTGGTTTGTGTTCATTTGGTTCTGTTGCTTTTAGGCAGGTGTCAGTCACACACAAGCGAGAGTATACAGTAGGGAAAACCACTCACTTCTTGACTTGGAAACAGAAGAAAGAAGAGGAGACCAGAGAGTCCCACAATCCCCTTCAAGGGCAGCTCCCACTGTCCTGGTACCTCCAGCAGTCCAGCTTCTCTCTACCATGATCTCCCGGTAGCACCACCCTGGGGCCAGGCCTTTAAAGGGGCTTTTGGGGGGGACATCCAAGCTCTTAATTTTAGCAATTATTTTTAAAGTTGCATTTAACTCTATGCCAACAGGCCTCTAACTAGTTTTATCCTGGCCTCCAGCTAGGATGTTGTTGTCTGGATCCTCTGCTTTCTTGGCAATGGGGCTTTATTTCGTTTGCTTGTCTCTAGTTTGTGGTGCATATGATCAAGTTTAAGGGCTGTGCCTGCAGAGTGGAGCCTCAAACTGGGCTTCATTTCTTGTCGGTAGTAATTTCTCATGTTAATGAGCTACAGTTCCAAGTTTAAATTTTGTTATTACTATTGTTGGAATCTATACAAGTAAAGACTAAGGTAAATGTTTCCTTATGCATTTAATGTGTAAACTGCCTGCCATGTCCTTAGTACTTTTTCCACTGTGGGAAGTCACTGGCCAATTTGGGTCATCAACAGACTCTCATCCTATCTCCATTCTGATAGCTCCCAGATAGATTGGTCATGAATTCCATAGGGATAGGCTCCAGATTGGTCAAGAATTCCATAGGGATAGGCTCTCTTTCCCCCAGCAATTGGTTGTCATAGATACCTGATATTAAACTCCATCTGTTGTCTCTTTTGCACAAATAGAACATTATTGCTGAATATGTTTAAAAAGTAACTCCTCAGCAAAAGCAATTAGTAACAAAATGAGTCGGCATGGATTTTGTTTCAAGACTCAAATCAAGTTGTGAATTTCTTTCAATAAAATCATTGCCAATTTTTGCGTTTGTCAGGGGTATTTCAGTCCCTACTTAGTGGCAAGTGTTTGTTGTTAATCATATGGTTTTGTTACAGAAATTCAAGAGTCTTTGTTTCAGTGGTGTTGATCTTTCTTGTATGCTTTCCCCACCCTGCCCCTGTGTCCCTTGTCCGTGTTCCTCTTGGGTTGTTTGTCTCATGGTTTATCAGGACTATTATGGTGAGAATATTATAAGAACTTTCCTTTGTTCTATTTCAATTTTGTTTAATGGTATTTTTGTTTCTTTTGAGACAGGGCTCCCTATGCTGTCCAGGCTGCCTTGAGCTTGCTTATACAGTCCAGACCATTCTTGGAGAAATCCCCCTGCCTCAGCTTCCCTAGTGCTGCGGTTTGTATGACCACCGCATCCACCTGTTTCCAGGTTTCCTTTTACATTACGTTGTTAAAACTTTTTGCACTTCAAATTTCCAAACAGTGACTTATGTCTGTCTTTTCCCTTTCAGTTAAGTTTTCTTTGTAAAGGTCTTTATTGACCAGGGGAAGTGAAAATGCTCATCCCTCTTCCTGTTTTTTTGCCTTTGTTTTTAATTTTCAGACTTAGAGCATTGCTCCTGCAGTGACAGGTTTTACAGTCCTTTTCCCATCTGCCTGCTCTGTAAACGGTTAAGGCAGTGCTCCTGTGCCTTCCGCGGTAGCAACCTCTGGGCTTGGAGGCAGCCCTGCGGGTGTGTAAGTGTTTCCTGTTTACTGCTAAGGAAAAGCACTTGCCTGCTTTACTAAAATCTTTAATGAATTCAAATAGTTTCATTGATTTTTCTCAGATTGAGTAATTATCTCCTCACATAATTTATAAGCAATCGGGATGTCATATCCTTATATTAAATCATTTTGTTACTTAGTTTCAGTTCCTTTTTTTTCTTTGTGTGGACTTGGGTCTATAAAACATGTCCAAATAGCCATCTAGACAAGGATGCTCATCTCTGCTTTTTAAATCCATCCCTCTAATGCTTTACAGGTATATATATAATTGTCCATTGATTTATTTATTTTGTGATCTTAAGGTAGTAATTTTATTTCTTGTTACCTTTTTTTTAAAAACACAAAACAGGCATAGACATTAGTATTTAACTACTCAATTTAGAATGCATAAGAGAAATTAAAACTACATTTTCTCATATTTCACTAACTTATACAATGCATTAGTATATTTCTTAAGCATTTGTATTTTAATGTATAAACAATTAAATTTTAAATACATTTTTGAGTTTATTTTTCTGTGATTTATCCTTATACATGAAAAATTCACGTATATTATTTTTCATATTCAAAACCTAAATCAATCCCAGTAGTTCACCATGTGTGAACCAGTCTGTTAGCTTTGTGATGTAGTAGATGGCCATCATTTCATCTGTATCAGACGTGGTGTGGAAACTCATGATGCTGTGATAGTCTGAAAGGAGTTCATTGGAAAATAAACATCGCGTGGAAGCTTCAAAGAGATGGTCCTCGAGAGCATTGTTCCTCATTCCCTCTCATTGGTCAGTTCAGCCTTTCTGGGTCTAGACACAACATTGACGATTTAGCCTTTCCAAGAGATATCTTACCTCATCACGATCCTGAAATGGTTAGGATGGGACTCTGCCCGGTGAGCACCTAGAGCTGCAAAATCCCACACTGCGGCAGTTGTACTGCCAGTGTTCTCGTCCTGCGTTTTTCTTCCTTTTAGAAGGAAAAGGAAAGCATTTATTTATACTTCTATATTTTGTTGCTAAAAATGAGCCCTATTTATTTACCAACTACCTTATAATGTTTAGGATTCCACAGTTTCGAACCACCTCTTGTTTCATCTTTATCTTTTTATGCTAGCAGAATTACCTCCTGCCATCACTCACAACTGTAGAATTTCTCAGGATATTTTGGCATGTGAATGTCTTAGAATAGATATCGAGATAAAGGATATCCTGGTAAATTTCCCTTTTGGAGCAGTCTAAATGTGATTTGATTCAGGAGACTTGACTTCTGTATTACCAAGGCAATAGCATGATTTTTTTCACTTGTTCATGAATAATTTTCACAAAGAGAAATATATAATTTTTACAGCCTTTTTTCCTGTATCCCAGGAGGCCTTACATTTTCTTTCTTATAAACTTTATGTACACACTATTAATTTATTTAATACATTTGTTGTTCTCATCATTTTTGTTATTATATAAACAAAACTTACCCCTAAGACATCTCTTGGTTTTCTTGTCACACTGTTAATGTATTAATTCTGTATCTGTTTATGTTATTTAATTCTCTTACTATTAACAAGGTTATTCTTTTCTTGAATTTGTGGGATCGAATACAATTGGGCTATAAGGAAATGATGATTCTTTCTAGAATTTGAATTTTTTCTATATGTTTTTGAAACACAATTTCATTATGGCTGGCTGGCCTCAAACTCACTCTATAGATCAGGCTCGCCTGGAATGCACCTGCCTGCCTCTGTCTCCTCAGCTCTGGAACCAAAGGTGTGCATTGCCATGCCTGGCTTTCTCCTTTCTCTTCTCTAGTAGTGTTTGTATTTGACCTGGTTTCCCGGGACCTCAACCCCCACAGCGACGTCGAACAGGAATGGAGTGCTGATGAACCTTCTTATTCCTGATACTATGAGAATTCTTCTAGTGTTGCCCTGCTTAGCCTATAGAAGGCTCGTGGATTCAGGCAGCTTGTGTTTTTAATTTATGAGTATTTTCGTGGGGTGCTCAAAGGAGACTCAGTTATAGTTAATTCACAGCAGTTTAGTCTACGGACCTGATGGACGTAAATACATAGACTGCTTTCCTCCTGATATATAGGCTGGTTTGATTTCAGAGTACAGTTTTTAAAAACTTTTTTTTTTTTGGCATGAGGAAAAGGGGTAATGTAAGTACAGGCATATTTCACAAAATACAAACTATTTGGCCAAGGAAGAAGGTTTCTGCTATATCTGGTATAAAGTCCCATGTGATGTCACCAAGATGAACTGCGATGCTAGTTGAGAAAGGCCTCTTCCATTTCTAAGCGGCTGATTTAACAGTGCCGTACAGCCCATATCCACGCTGGCTCTCATATCTGCCCTGAACAGATGATTGTTACTGACAGAGGCATTTATTTGAATTTAGAGCTCATGCTCCAGTCATTAGTGAATCCATACCAGCCGATTCCCTACTCTCTTCATCCCCATAAGCCGGTAAGGCAGAAGACATCCTTCCTAGTGTTGGGGCAACACCTGTCGTATTTTAGTTGACCAGGGTGTTCTGAATAATCAGATAGTCTATATATAGGAATCCCATTTCCTTCCCATTTTCCTTATGTAGGAGTGAGAATCTAGATTGCAGCCTTCCTTGGATTAGGGATCTGCAATGCACTCACCCACCCAAGCCTTCTTTTTAAAGGGAGTGAGAGTGAAATGGCTTCCTAGTGAGAGGGAACAGGTTGCAGGGGCGTCGTACCCTGTTCCTCCTGCTCAGGACTGTCCACTGGTCCTGGCTGCTTACGAACAACTTCCATTTCCTTGGGTTTAAGCAGATTCTGAAAAAGATACCCAGTAACCTTGAAGAGATTTCTTGAGGGCTCAGAGAGTAACCATGGACTCCACATTGCAACCAAGAATTGAACCCACAGCTTGTTATAAAAACAAAAAGACCTCAAATTACTCACCCCATCAAAAGCACACAGGGCTGCTAGATGTACTCTTGCTACTGCCTAGCCCATTGCACCTTGCAATAAAGAAAGAAAATTTTCTGTTAAACACGCACACACACACACTTACACACATGCACACACACACACTTACACACATGCACACACACACTTGCACACACACATACTCACACACATACACACACACCAACTTAAATTTTAGACCCTGAACATTATCTGTATAGTATCCAAATAAGTTTTTTTTTAAAAAAAAAAAAGGAGAAAGGGAAAAAGAATAAAAAGAGAAAAGTTAGCAAATTCTACCTTTGTTGGGGCACAGGCTACTGTATAGTTTCATACGGTGTCAAACATTAGATTTAGTTGACTGTTTGCAGTCGTGAAACCTGCCTTTTGTTTTGGCACCAAGGCAACACAGTCCACAACTCAGGGAGCTCTGCAGATCCTAATGTGCTTTTGTATCTCGGCCAGGGTGAGTTTTATAAATGAGAATAAACACCAGTCATCTGCTTAGGATTCCCTAATGTAAACCTGCCGACCCTGTGGGTTCCTGCAGCCTCCTATCTGGGATGCGCCCTCTCTGGTCTTTGTCCAGGGCAGTGGCTGGGGCTAAATATGTGGATTGTGTTTATGGTGCGGTGCATGGTTTCCAAAATGCAATCCTCGGAGTATCTATCTCCCTTTGGCTAGGAGCCGTCCTTTATCTTCTTAAAGAGACACCCCAGAGGATTTTTCAACTCATCTAATGACATTTTGATGTGACAGCCAAGAGCTGATCAACCAGGACCAGAATTCCAAAGGGCCTCCCAATGGTTGGAAGATAAACATCTTCTGTTGGTAGAATCTGTTACATAAAATGTTAACTTTAAATAGTAATTATAACTAAGCCAAATACTTTCTAGCTCCAGAGAGAACAGTATGTGTATCACGAAGATTGTATGGGCCAGTTGGGGGAAAGGTATGTGGTTCGACTTCTCCCTAATAAGGAAGTATTTGGGTCGTTTTGGTGAGGTAAAGAGTGGTTCAGAAGCCACATGAGGAGATATGGCCAAGCTGATGGGTGAGTTAGGGGCAGAAGTCACTGACATGAAACCAGAGCCTGCCATTTTTTCCCTCCCTGCCCCTGCAGTCTCTGCACCACGATAGTGGTGTGGGGGGCTCCTCTGTTTGTGGCGTAGGGATCCATCTGCATGTCCGTTGACCTCGGAAGTTAAGAGTGACTTCCATGCTCTGTTCTCGTAACTAAGAATTTGAATGTTATACCTTCAGGCTTCCTCTGACTTAAGAGACCCATTTTTTGTAGGGGAAAAAAAAACCTTCTGTTTTTATTATTATTTTAATGACCACAAATGGCGCGCTAAATTCTCTAAGTCATTTGGGTTCTCAGATTTCTGCTGTAAGCGCACTGCTTCATAATTTTCTGAACGTGAGGACAAGGGAAGGATGGCCATTTACTACCAGGGACGGTGACTATTTAAGAGATGGCTAGCATTTTTCTTTTCTCGTTCAGTTAAATGACATCTCTAGCCTTTTATTTCACCTGCCAATTACAAATGATCAGAAAATGACTCTGTGAACTTTCGACAAGAAACACAACCGCTTAAGTGCATCTGACTCCGAAGCGCTCCAGTTCCTATGAAGTAGCCTTTAAACCATCTAATCAAATCATAGCCTCACCAGCCATGGCCGCCAGCCAGCGTGGTGCCTGTGCATCTGCCGCACCGAGACTATTTTACATTTTGTAAAGGCAAGTGTCCTTGCTGAGCATTTGGAAGATAGTGGCTGAGTTGTGCAGCCTTCCTTCCACCATTGATTCTTGCCCCGCCCCTGCCACAAAGCCCAGCTGGTAAAGAGATAGCCACCCTCCTTGAGGTCATCAGGGTCACTCAGTCTCCCTGACTGATGGATATCACTAAGTCACCCCTTTGTCTTCACGTCTTCAGCGTACACAGACTCTATTTCCGCTCAATTTTCCATTTTACTCTGCCCTTTGATGTCTGAAGCTTGCTATTTACCTTCGGAGTTCCTGGATAAGCGGCACCTCTTGCCTCTGAGGCTCTTGGAGCACCTGCCAAAGATGTAAACAATCCCCAGGACCTGTAAATTCTGCCTAGCAGAGATGACTTCACGTCTGCAAGCTCATCTTGTGTGTCAGAATGTTGGCTCAGTCTTGTAATATGTATTCATCTCTATTTATCGCATGCTCCATTGAGCTATGAGGTGCTAGGAAACAGAAGCTTCCTCAGCCTTGAATCTATATCGTAGGTATTGAATAAACGTTTGAATGGTTATTGGAGAAGGGAATGTCACTTCTTACTGTTCATAAGATAGAGGATAGAGGCCTCATTCTCTGACACTAACTGACGGCAATCTGACAAAAGCATTCACTCGCTTGGCCGTGCCTCTGAACACAAAGCCATCTTAACCATCTGGTTCACCTTTTCCCTTGCTTTGGCCTCAGGTTATGTCATTCTAGCTCTATTCTACTGTTTTGGTTAATCATGGCTGTCAACTTGATTGAACCTGGACGTAACTAACAGATATGTTCTCTGAGCGGATACGTGCAGGTATTTCCTGGAGAGATTAACCGAGGGGGAAGACCCTCCTCTAGGGTGGCCATCATCTGGTGGCTCAAGTATAAGAGGGTTTGCGGGGGGGGGGGGAACCAGACATCTCTTGGTTTTAGTCTTTGTGAGTACATCCATCTTGTTGCTGCCACTGAAAGCTGATTGGACTGCCACTCTCCAGAAACCTTCCAGGCCTTCAGCACCAGCCTTGTGTCCTCCTGAGCAGTTCCTGGGGTTCTCAGCCTCTGCAGAGTGCAGAGAGAAATTGTCAGACTCCCCAGTATGCGTTGTGTAAGTTGATCCGAGAACTGGCTTGTGGAAGATTTCTCCACAATCAGAAATAAAATTAACCATTGTATTCCAGATGAGAGTTCAGGTCCAGAGAGGTCCCTGGCCTGTCAGCATTCACTCAGGTGCTATCTGGCCTACTTGTCAAACTCCCACGTGGTGAATTCTAACTTCCTGGTTTGTCCTCCATAGCAGTTTTCAATGTGGGACTGATTGTATAGGGCAATTTTTGATTAGAATATGGACCTTATAGGTCTATAAGAAATCAGGCTGAGCAAGCCATGGTGCACAAGCCAGTAGGTAATACTGCTTCATGGCATCTGCACCAGCTCCTGCCTCCAGGTCCTTGCCCTGCTTAAGTTCTTACCCTCACTGCATTTGATATAAACTGTTACATGGAACAAGGAGTAAAATAAACCTTTTCCTCCCCAAGCTGACTTGGTCGTGGTGTTTCAGCCTAGCAATGGTAACCCTAACTAAGACAAATATGTGCCAGGATAGTGGGGGTATTTCTGTGAAAGTCCTAACCATGTTTTGGGGTGGATTGTAGAAGTCTTTGGAACTTCGGCTAGAAAAGTCATCTCCGATGATGGATATCTGACCTGTGAAGTTTCAGAAGGAAGAAAGGACTCTACTGGACCATTTGAGTGAAGAACCTGTGGTGTCTGGTCAGCTGGAGCTGGAAAATTGGATGTGATTAACAAGAGACCAAAGCCGCTAACATTAGACTTGTGCTTTGCTGTTGGGACTGAAGAATCAGCTGTCAGTGAAAAGAGACCTGTGCCATTAGGGTGATGTCTTCTGAGAAGGGTTTCCTCAGCCAGCACACAGACACTGTGTTCCAGAAGCAGGCAAGGTTGTTCCTTCTATTGGCAGCCTAATTTGGTATTGTAAGAGTCATCCAGGTGGTATTGGCTTTGCGGGCATGGAGGGGTTATGGCGAGAAGCTGAGGGTTGACACTGTGAGGCAGGGCTAGAGTCCCTGAAGAGAGCCCAAGAGAAGCTACTGGTGAAAGTGCAACCCAGTTACCGAAGAAGACCCCCACACACCAGCAAAGCATAGGTCTTACTTTAGTGCTTCTGGTCTCTTGTTAATCACATCCAATTCTCCAGCCCCAGCTGACCTGCCACCACAGATTTGTCACACAAATGGCCCAGTCGAGTTTTCATTTCCCTCTGAAACTTCCCAAGCACATCAGCAGCAGAGGGGTGGAGTCAGACCAAGCCTAGGAGGAAAGCTGAGTGTGTTGCAGAGGGTAGAGCCAGAGAAGGGACCCAAGCTCTTTGGAGGGAGATTGTGAGTGCATCCCAGACCTTGGGCATTGAGTTATTTATATTGGAATTTAATTTTGTTTTGCTTTGGTTGTGACTGCATCCTGGTTCATTTCTTTTGAAGTAAGAAGATGTTTCATTTATTTTTGATTTTTATAGAAGCCCACAGTTGAGAGACTTTGAGTCTTAGAAGACTTTGAATTTTTTAAAGAGACCGGATATTATAAAGAGACTGAATTTTTAAGTCTCTGAATTTTTAAAGGTTGTGGGGCTTGTAAAATATTTTGTATTGTGTTATCTTTATGAAAGTGTGATCTTGGGGATGAACAAAAGAGGAAAGGTTGTGGTTTAATGGTGATGTGCTTGTATTAAAGCTGAAAAGATCAGTGGTGCTGGATGGCTTTATTTCATCTTAGCATGGGCTAGAGTCATCGCCTCTCCATGGCCTCTGCATCAGCTCCTGCCTCCAGGTTCCTGCCCTTTTCTGAGCTCCTATTCTGACTCCCTTCGATGACAAACAGTCATGTGTATGCTAAATAAACCTTTTCCTTCCCACTTTGTGTGGGTCACAGTATTTCATCACTCATAGTAGTAACTCTAACTTGGACAGTTTCCAAAATATGTATCTATCAGTCAGGACAAAGGCAAGAAAATAGAAAGAAGTAAAGAGTCGGAAGCCACTAAGTTACTTTTCACTCAATTAAAGTTTGTGGTAGTTATGGCTGTCACTAGAGTGGCAATAAGATGCTTCTTACTGTAACCATTCATTCAAGTTGGCATGGGGTTCTCTCCTGTTCAAAACACAGCTTGCAGCCTCGCTGTTGATGAGATGTCTATCTAAGGAAGTGGAAGAGAGGAAAAACAACAAACAAACAAACAAAAGCAAAGCATTGCCACAGCATGCAGATCTGCTCAAGGGTTTTAAGGGTTATGGC